TTTGATTTGTGCTGTTGTGCCAAATATTTCAAACCAAAATTAGCACAGCCTGGAGAGGAGGCAGCACCAAAAAGGTGAACCTTCATTTGATACTCTTTGGGCTCGCTCTCCAAATCTCCTTGCTCCCACCATAAGAACCTGAGGTAACAACGATGCTTTGATGCAACAAAAAACTGGTGGAACATCCTTTCAATGTCACAAATGATAGCAACAGTTTCTTTTCTGAAGCGCAGCAGGATTCCAATTAAAGAGTTTATCAAATCTGGACCAGTCAACAAGGTATCATTTAAAGAGGTACCACAAAATTTAGCTGAGCAGTCAAACACCACTCTTAGCTTATCTGGCTTCTTTGAATGGTACACCCCATGATGAGGTAAGTACCACACACAATCATTGGCATTTGTCTCAGGAGCTAGTTCAGCATCACCACAGCTAATGATGGACTCCATAAATGTTTTGTAATGATTGTAGAACTGATAATTTCTCTTTAACCTTCTCTTCAGATGTTGTAAACGAATTGTAGCCAGCTTCTTATTATTTGGCAACATAGGAGGGCAAGGTGTTTTAAACGGGAGGGGCATCTCCAAATGGCCATCATCTTTCTGTGTAATATTTTCACTCAGAAGCTGTAGAAACCGAATGTCATCTTGAGAAACACATTTTCCTTCTGGGCCCTTTTCATTAAAATCCATCTCCAGAGCCTTTAAAACATCAGAGGTTAATGGAGCTGGCATTTCTTTTACCATCACTCTGTGTACAAATCTTTGGTTACCTTGCCGATCTAAATGTGGATTAGCTGCCCCAATGATACTCCAACCCAGAGCAGTTTTCTGAGCAAAGGGTTCATTTTCCCCACCAACAACAACTTCCAAAGGAGCCAAGGCAGAAGGACAGTCAAACCCAATTAGTAAACCTACTTCACAATCTTGTAAAGCAGGCATTTTTCCAGCCAGATGTTTAAGGTGAGGCCACTGTAATGCTGTACTTCTACTTGGTATACAAGATGTATCAACAGGAATGAAGTCCCGTGTGTATGCTTGCCCCAATCTTATACAATTATCAGAGAAAAAGCTCCGAATCTGCAAGTCAGACACAATTTCACTTGAAACAGGTGCATCAACAGAAACCATAGTACTAAGTTTTAACTGTACTGGTTTTGTTTCAACAGTCAAGTTTTTCACAAGATCTTCTAGGACAAAGGAGGAGTCACTCTGAGTATCAAGGAGTGCATAAGTAAGTATTTCCTTCCCAGGATCCTTCACAGAGGACAAAAAAACTGGAACAATACTTGATGTTGCAGAAATGTTTCGGGTGAGTGCATGAGACAAGACACTGCGAGAAACCTGAGGTGTTTCTTCTGAAGAGATGGAACACTGCTGAGCAGCATCCTGAGATCTTACTCTCTCCAGGTGCAAACAAGTAGGATGATGCCGTCTACACTCTCCACAAACATGGCGTGTTTTACAATCTTTCGATAAATGGCCCTTTCTCAAGCATCCAAAACAAAGATGGTTCTGATGTATAAATGACATTTTGTCTTCCATTGATTTAACTGCAAATTTAGGGCATTTAGCAATACTGTGCGACGTGTCTGTACAAACCAAACAAGGCAGTTTAGATTTCAGAACATGAACAGTTTCTTGTTTCTTGAACTCCGTACTGGTACTAAGAGCTTTTGCTTTTCTGGAAAGATCATTTGAAGAAGTTCTAGACTTTAACAAAAATGGAGAAGCAATAGGATTACATGCTATGCGTGCTTCCTTTTTTATGAATCTAGAAAAACATTCAAAAGATGGATATTCCCCACATGCATCTAGTACTTCAACAACAACTCTGCTCCATTTACGTACAACCCAATCTGGTAATTTCTTCAACATCTTATGATTCTCTTCACAATCATTTAAGATAGACAGTCCTTTAACTTGAGGCATCGCCTCTTCACAACTTTTCAAAAAGTCTGCAAAATCTCTGAGAGACGATGGATCATTTGGTGCAATCTTAGGCCATGACTTAAGTTTATCCCTAAATGCTTTCTGAATTACAAACGAGTTTCCATATCTCTCCTGAAGAACTGCCCATGCACCTTCATATGCATCTTCAGAACTTCTGTAAAAGAAACCTTCTACAGCCTTTCGGGCTTCTCCAGAGAGATAACTTTTCAGATACAACATTTTTTCTCCAGCAGAGATGGCCTTTGAATCAATTAAAGTTGTAAATGATATCTTAAAGTCCACAAATTTCAAAGGGTCACCTGAGAATATGGCAGGTATAGGAACAGGGAGGCGACTTAAACTTAACGAGCTCGTTAAGGCTTCAGCCAAGTTTACTGCAGAAATCTCAGAGCAAACTTGAGATGGTAAAATAGTTGCAGCCCTTGCAGTCGACTTTCTTGGGTGTTTTAAAGGTTGCATTGACTTAACTTCAGGCTCAAAATCAAGATTTTCCCTTTCAACACCATCCTCAAGTCTGCTGTAAACATCAACCCGAGCTGCAGCCATTTTAACTTCCATATCAGTCTCCATTACCTTTAACTTGCTCTTTTCCTCATCAAGTTGCTGCAGCACTTCAGCCTCCTTCTGCTTCATTTCTGCCATAATCTGGGACTCATGACATTTCCACTCACATTCAAGTTTACTGACTTTAGCATGTTGAGCTTCAATCTCCAACATGGATTTAACTTGAACCCTTTTGGCTGCAAGATCAGCTTCTGCAATTACCCGCTCTTGAGAAACTTTGGAACTGGTAGTTGATGAACCATATGCACATGAAGAATTTTCAGTAGAGGCTTCTCCAAAAACAGACTGATATTCATCTCTATTTAAGATTTCTCGCACCCTTTCCTTTTCAACTTCTTGATTAAAATTTTCTTCAACAATACTCCCTTCCAAACGCTTACACACAAGATCATAAATCTCATTTGTTAATATAGTACAGGCATCTAGTTTCTGCACAATATCTGGAGTATTTAAAGAATTACGTTGAAGACACTCATAATTTTGTTTCACTTTATCAAGACTGTTTTGGACTTGCTGATTTATTTCATTCAGATTCTCCTGAGAGCAGAAACCTTTTAATTTCCTCCTGGCTTCCCTGGCAATTTGCTTCCAGGATCCATAAGATTTAAGAAATGCCTTTATCCATTTTGCAGATTCTGCTTCTCTGTACTGCTCTCCCTTTCCAGTTAACTTTCTTGTCCGTGGACCTGAAACCAACTCTTGTCCTTTTGGCTTTACATCAGAGCACACATCTTCAGTAGAAAGTCCTTTTACACTTGGCAGTGACATCTTAACCCTTTACAATGACTTAAACCTTACAGTGAAATTAAACCCATAAATGTTTTTTTTTTTTTTTTTTCATTTATTTTTATTTTTTATTATTATTATTATTTTTTTTTTCTTCCTCTTAATTAGTCCAGTTACCTTTTAAATAATTCGGCGTAATTTCACAAACGCCAATAAAAGTCAGGTGACGTCATCTTCAAGTTGTTTCCGTGTTTGATAAGTCAATTTCTCACCAAGCCAGCGATCATCTGTTGGATTCAGTTTCTGAAGCAAACTTGGATCCACCGCGAAGACAACTCCTCATGGAGGCGTTGACTCTGATGCTGCGTCAAACTTCGGCCGATGTCAGATCCAGAATTCTCGCCGTCAATGGATGTCCAGACGCACAGAAGCTACGAGTTTTCACTGTAGCAGCTCCCCAGCAGTGAATGAAATTTCAGCGGTCTCGACAGGTGATTTTCAATGTTTATTTTCTTTGATGCGGATCATCTCAGTCATCAATGTCACCGTGAAAACTAAACAAATACAAATATTAGAATATAAACATAAACTTACAACACACAAACAAAATAAAACGTACCTCGCTGCTTTCACCAGGGAACGCTAAGAATCACAATGCAAGCACGGCTCTGAGGGTTATTGTCGGCATACATTGATACAGCGGCCTTTATAGGGCCTGTCCTCATTAAGCTGCGGCAGCCCGTGAGGTACATAACAAAGGAAATTTTACAACATGCAAATACAATAAACAAAACACAATACAAAACAGTGGTAATCAAAACAGACAAATATAATCAAACAATCTGCAATCCTATAAATAATTTACAATAAATATATCCTATAAATAATTAAATATAAATAATTTACAATAAATATATCCTATAAATAGTTAAATATAAATAGTTTACAAGTTTAAATAGTTAAAGAAACTTAATTTTAATTGTTAACTACCCATTACAAATGCACTGGAGAAAGCAAAGAACATGATCCTAACAGCGCTGTCTGCCTTGTCCAAATGACAGTGGGTTTGTAGAAGCAGGTGTATAAAGGCATCTTCAACTCTAAACTCTACGACGATAAGCAAACTAAAGTTTTAACTCAATGTTTATTTTAAGCAGGACCTTGCTCAACATTTTTTGATCTGCTTGATATCACAAATAAATAAAAAACTAAATAAATCACCTATAAATGGCCAAACTAAATAAATATCCACCTGAAGGCTATCTGAGCAGGAGTTAACGGCTGTGAGTGAAATAAAAGGGGTAGCAGTTCTTATTAAATGCCGCTCTTAAAACTCAGATTATGTCATTTTACATCTGAAATTAAGTCTTTTATTATTATTTTTAATCAAAAGTCGTAAAAATCCAGGAGCAGGAATTTATCTAAAAATACTTTCTTTATTTCTACAAAAAAATAAGTGAAATCATACAACAGGAAAAAAAACTCTAGAACTACTGGGGTAAAGAGAAAAATGAGACAAGAAAATTTTGTAGACTAGACGTTTTTTATTAGAAATAAAGCAATAATTATTTAGGATACAGATGATGAGATTAATAATTATATTTATTTGGGCTCCAGCACATAACAGCATATTGCATTTAACAGTTCATTATTCGCAATACAGAAACATAATATAAGAATCTGAAAATATTATGAAAAATATGAAAGAAAAATAGAAAATATGTAGAAGATATGAGATTTACTTAGACATTTTGAGCCACACTCTCCATACCACTAGGTGGTGGTGTTGTGAACGTTTTTTTCCTCCCCCAACCGTTACTTAAATTTGAGAAGGAGAAGAAGAACGATCTTCTCGCGTGATTTCACTCAAAAATAACGCGGGACAGTCGGTTAAAACGTAAACAGTTTGCATTCAGCAGAAATGTCGCAATGGTTATTTACTTATAACATTAGCTAAAATAGCTTTATACGGTGTCTGGTTCTCTTTAGTTGGCAAAGCTTAGTCGTGGTCTGACATATTTTCTGTGACTTCAGTTAATTTTTGTAAAAGTTAAAGTTTCAAGGTCTGTTAGCTGGTTTTAGCTTGGCGAGCTAATGGATTTTACGGAGGACTTGTCTGCTCGGGTCCTAATCAACCAAATTCTGAACACAGAGCTTCCCAGGACTCCATTTACCCGAAGGTAAGGTCCCTTAAAGTGGGAAAATGTAATCTAACAATCTTTGTAGCATTTTGGTGTTGATTTTGCCATAAGTTTATCCTCGCTATCCTGCTAAAACACTCAGTTTAGAGTCTAGTCTGATGTCAACTTCTCTGGCAGAATAAGACATCTAACATGGTGGCATTTTAAAGAATATATATCATCACAGTTTTTTTGTTGTTGTTTTTTTTGGATGGTTGCTTGATATTAAGAAAAAAATCCAGTCACAGTATGATTGTTTTATAATTGCAATGACTCTTGATTGCAATTAAGCCACTCTTTTGCTGCTCTTATATATTACCCCCGATCACAATATTTCTGTTGGTCATTAAATCCATTTCGGGTATAAAGATCAATGGCAGGAAAGCTGTCCTTTCCTATCCAGATACAATAGACAGGTGTAAAGCCTCCTCACAGGAACAAACCCTACTAAATATTGAATCTAAGCTGTCATTTGTATTTCTTTTAGCATATATTGTGATCATAACATTAAAATATTAGAATATCTGGTATTTATTGAGATGATAATGAAAGGTACTTGGACATTATTAATATTCTATTACATAAATAAGTGTGAAAATAAAACACGATTTTAAGGTTGTTTGATGTATTATTCTTATGTGCAAATCATCTAGACCTTTAGACTTAACAACAGCAAAACTATGCAAACAAGAGCTTTATTTAGTATTGATATCATGCCAAATTAGAATTGTATCTGGATACGATGTCTCAGTATCAATTAGGGCTGCAAATGAGAATTATTTTGAAAATAGATTAATCTGTCGATTATTTTGTAGATTAATCGATTGATAATTGGATAGCCAAAGGTTCCTTAAAGAAGAGATTTTATAAAATTAAACCAGGTGAAACTAGAACTATTCCACTTGAGGAGTTCTGGATAGAGCATATTGGCAGATGAAAAAGGTTTTATTTTTATCATAAATGCGAAATATTTATACAATTGATATAGTTACTGTTCTAATTGGGTTGCTCTGTTAACCAAAGGCATGTTGAACAATCTCTATATGCCTTAACGATTAATCGATTACTAAATTAGTTGATGATTATTTTAATAATCGATTAATCACGATTAACCGATTAATTGTTTCAGCCCTAGTATCAATACTTTTGAAAACCTAAGTATATTCATTATAAGCGTTTTTACATATCTTACCTAAGAAGAAGAGATCGACAGATAACAGGTTTTTCAGATCAATGTTGATACCGTTTAGTCTAACAGATACTTGGTATGGGTTTATTGCTTTTTCTTCCCTCATTTACATAAAAAATGACACAATGATAACAAATGTTACATGAATCACAAAAGGAAACCATTATTATCAAACAAAGTGTCAAACCAAGTCAGTCAGTCGATAATAAATAAATAAATACTAATATCAGGCCAAAATATCAGCTGGCAGATGTATCCCAATAAATCAGCCATGTTTTTTTTTTTTGGTTTATAAGTGTACTGTGTTTGGATGTTAGTGAACCCCAGGCACCAAGTGGCAGCGCGCCCCGACGTAGCAGCAGGTTAAGGAAAGATGCTGAGCCCCAAACCCCGCAGAACATCCTGAGGCGCAGCCAAAAGCATAAGATCCGTGAGGTAACGGAATCACAAACCTTTTTTTTGTTGTTGTTTTTTTTTCACAGCGGCTTTATATTTTTTAAACCTAAACCAAATCTGAACAATTTATTTTGTTTTAGAGTATAACCAGAAAATCCATGCCTTCTACTAAAAGAAGAACTTCCGTCGTGCTCAGAAAGAGAGCTTCTTCCACTGCCATGTTTTCCACTGATGGAGAAACTCCCAGGCATTTACTCATGAACATACTACAGACAGGTCTGTGCAACGATCTGCTCTGTTTGGTTTCCATTAAGGCTCTATTTTTTTATATCCTTTTCATTCTGCTGTGTTTCAGACCCTGTGAAATCCCCTGTTGTTCACGAAGAAGTGCCGCCTGCAGAACCACAGCCCCCTTCAGCTGACAATACAGTTACTACATCCCATTCTAGGTGAGCGACTTATATTTTGTGTGTGTTGCTTCCAGACACCTCTATATGCATTTAGGTCTTATAGCCAATATGGATGTATTTTTTTTTTTCTCCTCAGCGTTGAGCTGTCAGGACTGGATCTGTCTGATGTAACACTGGGGAACGAAGCAAGCTCCACGGAGGGTCTGAGCAGGAAGAGGCCACGTCGAAGCCTTAATGTTTCTGCTTTTGCAAAACGACTTAAAGACCAAAATGGTAAACTTAAAGCTTTTTCTGACTGGCTCCCTGCTTTTTCTCTAAAATATTCTAAAACCCGCTAATGCAAGAACATTTTTTGTTTTAATTAAAATTCAGGAATGCATTCTAATAACTGTAATATAATGTTTGTTTCTTTCTGTTCATGCTTACAGAAGATAAAGCAGATAGTTCAATAGGGAGCCATTCATCAGTTTCTTTATCAAGGTAATCTTCATTGAATGGTGCAAATAACATGTATTTATTTGATTTAATTAGTTCTATTAATAATTTGTACTGTACATACATGCTGTATGCCCCATTTGTGTCTCAGCTTCAGCTCCCTGGATCTGAAAACACCCTTTGTTGAGGTTCATACTGAGAAGAGAGGCCTTCAGAGGCGTGCGTCTAACCGCAGGAAGATAACAGTGGAGGACTTTAATGCAGCTCTGGAGAAACAACAGATAGAAGGTGATTATATTTGGTCACCAAAGACTAAACTTAAACTGGCTAGGAATCAGGTTTCTGTTTAAGGACATTTTTTTTACCCTATGAGATGGTCATTGTTTCGTCACCTCAGATTTCTCAGCTTGAAGTTCAAATGTCTCCGGATTAAAATTCATAGACTTTAATATATTTATCAGGGTTTTAGTCGATGGGTCAATGCAACCTTAAAGTCCTGCTGAGTAGGGAGTTAATTACATTTGCAATGTAATCGTTATTCTTATAAAATGCATTTTTCAAATCCCAGATGCTCAGTTTAAGCCACTTAACAGGTTTAATACACAAATTAAAGACTCAAATAATTTAAGAGTTATAATTTTCCTTCTTAGAAATTTCTCAAAAACTGTATTTCCTTCTTGTTTAGGCCACAGACTACAGAACCAGAATCTTGGCGATGACACTAATTTTGAGGGGATCACGTTGGGTCTGAGCAAACTCAGCGAACCTGATGTCACAGAGGATATCATGAACTGTCACACAGCTCTGTATGACCATCAGGATGCAGCGACGTCTGGCATTTCAATCATTGCAACTCAGGATAAACCCACAGTCTTTGCTTCTCAGCTTCAAAGAGATTTACAGGAGGAGGAAGAGGAGCAGAGTGAGAAAGATGGGAAGGAATTAGTAGATATAATTGAGGAAGAAGATCCTGCCACAGACCCTGACGGGGATGAAGGTGTTTCTGACTCTCAGGACAAGGACTCTGCTGATAAAGCGAAACCAGAAGATGCTGAAGCTGAGGATCCACCCGATAGTGCTTGTGATTCTGCTCTTTTGTTTAAATTGGAGGAAAAGAAGGACGCAGCTGGTTCTCAGACATTCGATCTAGGTGATGAAGCTCAGTATGAGGAAGAGGCTGTTGCTGATCCACATTCTGAAGATGATAAAGGTGGCTCTGAGTCAGAGCAAGACAAGGCTGAGGATGAACAGAAAAACCAATCTCAAACTGAAGAAGAAGCTTCAGCTCATTCTCAGGCCAAAGACTTTGAAGACGCTCAGTCAGAGCAAGGCGAGGCAGCAGTGGGGAGTCCAACTGAGGATGAAGGTATGGATCAATCTCAGACTGAGGAAGAGGCTGCAGTTGAATCTGGGTCTGAGAAAGAGGAAGCTCTAGTGAGTTCTCAAACAGGGGATGAGGCCAGGGATCGATCTCTGACGGAGGAAAAAGCTGCTCTTCCTGAGAACCAGGAGGCTCCTGCTGATTATCGGTCGGAACGCGTTGAAGAAGACCCTCAGTCTGAGCAAGACGAGGCTGTAGTGGGACCTCCGGCGGAAGAAGAAGGTATGGATCGATCTGAAACTGTGGAAAAAGCTGCTGTTCAATCTCAGACCTTTGACCTTGAGAATAAAGATGAAGAAATAGCAACTGAATCTCAGCCTGAAGATACTGGAGCAGCTTCTCAGTCTGAGGAAGAGGAAGCTTTAGTGAGTTCTCAAACAGGGGATGAAGCCAGGGACAAATCTCTGACAGAGGAAGAGGCTGATCTTCCTGAAAACGAAGAGGCTCCTGTTGATCATCATTCTGAAGGCGTTGAAGGAGACCCTGAGTCTGAGCAAGACAAGGCTGCAGTGGGACCTTCGGTGGAAGAAAAAGGTATGGATCGATCTGAAACTATGGAAAAAGCTGCTGTTCAATCTCAGACCTTTGACCTTGTGGATAAAGATGAAGAAGTAGCAGCTGAACCTCAGCCTGAAGATACTGGAGCAGTTTCTCAGTCTGAGGAAGAGGAAGCTGCAGCTGGCTCTCAACCCGAGGGCGAAGGTGGATCAGAAACCCAAGCAGAGGAAGTCACGGTTAATAAATCCAGAAGTGATGTTCAAGAAGAGTTTGACGCTGAGGGGGGTGTTGCAGTTAGTCAGACTGAAGAAGACCATCACAAGGATGAAAGAGAGCAGGAGAAAGAGTGGAGATCGGAGCATCTTGAGCACGATGTGAGGTACATCAGTCACAGGGCTTATCGCTCTGAGGGTAGACTCATTCCTCTCAAGCGAAGAGATGATCCGACTGAAGCTCCTGCTGCAGGTAAAGTTCTCTGTGGGAGTCTTTCTATGCTAAATAATAGGAGGATAGATGGGATGAGTCTTCCTTAAAACCATGTTCCTGGTGTTTTATTCCAGGTCGGTCTTACACCATGTCCAAAGGCCCCAGTGCTCTGGGTTTAAACAGCAGCACTGAAATGGGAAGCCAGTTCCAAAGTGGAATTTCAGATTGGCCTAAACCCTCGCTCCAAGATCAGGAGGACGACTCCGGAGCAGAAAAGGATCCGATGGGCGGAGAAAACACCTCAGCTCACCAGATTTGCCATGATGTTGAAGTCTGTGAGCAGCAGAGTGATCCCCCCGCAGAGGAAGTTCCTTCTGAGGATGCTGGGGAACAGGAAGAAGAGTGGGATGAGGAGGATGATGATGAAGGTTAGTGTTTGTCCTTTTAGTGTGCGATTTTTATATATATTTTGTTATTTATTTAGAAAGGATTAAATCACGTTTTGGGTTCTTTGATACCTAGAAGTCCCCACCAAGACACCAGCGTTTGTCAGAGAGAAGAGACACGTTTTTGTCAGCAATGCTCAAGCATCGCCTTCGGTTTTTAGAAAGGATAACAACGCGTAAGTTCTACTTCTTTTTTCTGCCGTGCTACTCTTTTCTACCAACATTTATTTTTTTTACATGCTAGAACAGGCTTACCCTATTCTCTTTTTGTTTGTTGCACTTTCAGAATTACAAGTGACACTTTACCTGCAGCTAAACCAAAGCAGGTTAAACGCAGGAAAAACGAACAGTCCCGAAAGGAAACCGTCCTCCCTAAAAGCTACCTTATGAGTACCTTCAAACATTTTGCCAAAACAAGAGTCTCTGCAGATGTCTTCCCGGTCCTAAACGAGATGTAAGAAACACAGTTTATGTTTTTTTTTTTTTTCCTCTAAATGAGACCTTATGCTGAAAAGTACCATCATCTCCTCCCTTCTACTGCCACGTCAGACCTGTTTAATATTCCATATTTAAAAACAGAGCAAACACTGTCTTTACTTGTATAATTGCATATATTATGATCCATATCTTCTCTGTGGCAGAATGGATACATTTCTTACCCGTGCTGTTGAGGATCTGGAGGTATATGCAGCCCATGCAAAGAGAAAAACTATTGAGGTGGAAGATGTTAAACTTCTGTTGAGAAGGTACATTTGCTGTCCACCCTGTGGAGAAAGTGTCATTTTATATTTTCTGTTTAAAAGGGAGAATATTAATACCTCATAAAGCTGCATTAAGAAGATTATGATAAAGATAAGCCTCTAGATGTTGTGATTTATTTTGGTTTAAGAAAAAACTTACCATTAAACTTACAAAATAACATTTCATTTGTTCCACAGTGTAGTTTATCATTCATGATTTAAAATAATTCAAATGTTTTTTTTCGGTTTGAAAACTTTGAAAAACCCCTTAAGCATTTTTTTTTTTTTTTTTTTTTAGAATATTCTTTTTGTTAAAATTCACACACCCATCTGAATTGATCATGTAAATCATTATAGCATCGTATTTTTACAAAGTTTAACAGTTTCATTTACTTTTTCTGTATTTACCTGTGTTTTTTGTTTTTGTTGCATTGTACAGGCAGGGCCACATAAGTGACGAGGTGCCTGTGGAGGTACTCATTGAAAAGTATCTACGTATGGAACAGCGAAAGATTCTGATCCCCATCGCTACCAGTGGGAATATTGTTATCCCGTAAAACCTCAGTTCCTCATTTAGTTTCCATGTAAAGCAACAAAACATTCATAACAGAGTCTTGTACATGTGTTAATATTTCTCTAAATGTTTACTTCAATTATATAGTTCCTGTTTTTGTATTATATCGGATAGAGTTTGTAAATGTTTAACAGTTGAAATAGTTTTGTCGATAGTTGTTAAGTGTTTTCACTGTATAATCTCTTCTCATAAAGAAAATAGGTTGCAATCAATTATTAATAAAGTTCTGTGTATGATATTTGTTTCATTTGAGGCCTTTGTACATTACCCATTAGTAACATTGTGACTTGTATAAGCAAATGTATTTTAGCAGAAATCTGTTTAAACTTGTTATATACGACCATTTTATATTTTAGCTGTCAAGTAAAATAAAGTTGGATGGAATATTTTGTAGCTTTAGCAGTTTAAAGAATGGTCGAAGCTTTTGTGAGGTTTTGTGAGAGAACTACTTTTGAGTTTTGACATGTTTCTCCTTTGTCCACTAGATGGCGCAAATGACTATGAAACCTGACTAGTCTAACAGGTGTTCATTTATTATGGGAACTAAAACCAAGCCTTACACCTTTAAAACAGTTTGTTTTATCTTAATGCACTTTGGAATCACAGCAGAATTTGTTCCCCATTAAATTACTGGCCTCATTTCTATTAAGGAACATAATTTGCATTCATAAGGCGTTGCTGCTCAGAACAAAGACACTCATATTAATAATTGAACTTTATTAATCTCATATTGGAGAAATTAACCTCTGCATTTGACCCATCTCCTTTGAAGCAGTGGGCCGCCATTGTGCGGCGCCAGGTGTTATGCCGAGAAATGCATGCCTGCCGAGAATTGCATCCCCTCTCGCGGGAGCGCGCGTCGCTCTAAACTCTCGCTTATTGATGAGAAAACTGACTCAAATCTGACCGAAGAGGAAACTTTTAAAGATATTCTTTACATTATCACGATTCTTAACCATATAAGCCCTAAAACGGTGGATTTTATTTCGAAGATTATTTACAATAAATACGGTTTTACGACATACTAGTCGAACGTTTTGCAGTCTGTCTGATGAAAATGTTCTCCGCAGCAGGTTTAAAATCCCCCGATATTTCTTTTAACACCATAATAGCTTAAAGTATGACAAATCAGAGGAACATTATATACAACATTTATTATCGCCCTTAACTATGGAGGACCAACTCTGCCATATTTAAAAATAAATACAGAAATAAATAAATGCTCAATAAATATGTAAGCATACAATTAATTGCCAACAAAAATACAATAAACAAATAAATGTAAGTAGAAAATAAATTATACAGTGAGACATAAATGTATATAACTCTTTTAATTAGCTTCTTTATTTATTTGCCTTTGTAATATTTACCTTATTTTTTTTGTCCTTTACAATCTTCAACTTAATTATTTAATTACTTATACTTAAGTATTTATGTGCATGTTATAAGATTCTGTTTTATTCTTCCTTTGTATTTTTTTACCTTAGTTATTTCTTCGCCGCTGTTTATTTCTGTCTGCCCTTTTTACATTTCTGCCTGTTGTATTTACATTTCTGTATGCATTTCTGTCTCATTATGCAAATGAGGAGGGGGTTATTTTCTAAATGATTTGTGCCACATAAACAGTTTCAGATTTTAAATCATAACCACAAACTTTTGCACCTTTTTATTAGTTTAGTGATTAAACAGTATGAACAGTCCAGCTCTGACTCTAGTACATTTGGTGATACACACAATGTGGAAAAACAAGAACAGAAAGGCTCCACCTCAAACTACAGAAAGCCGTGGAGCTAAAAGATCAAAGGACTAGACTGACAGATAACAAACATTAAATAGGTTTATAAATCAGCCAAATTGGCTACATTCTGTTGAAAAGAAACAGGCAAAAACTAAATCCTAAACATCAATGTGGCCATGTTAACTGCTTGAAATATATTTGTGATGCTCTAAAAATAAAATGCAGAATTTTTTGAGACTTGTTCATTTGACAAACTTGTTGAGTCTGCCTTCCTCCTTGTTACGCTTCAATCCTCTAGAGTTTTGCTTCCTTCCAGTAGCATCTGCAATCAAAATGTATTTCTATAAATGTTTGGAAATCCTACATGTCACAAAAATGTGTGTATTGTGTATATATATACATTTTGTCACCTTTAACTGTTGTATGGTTCTCTTCAAAACCCGGATTTCTTCTTTGTAGTTGCTTTCCAGCACTTCCTTCCTGCGAGCTTCACTCTTTCTCCTTATATCATTTTCCTCTTGCTGTTCATCCATTTTTTTCAGCAGATCCTGTTTCTCCCTTTCTAGATCTTCAACCTACAAATGTGAAAGACACAGTAGGAAGTCCACAGCTATCAGTTGCATCTGGAAACAAAGAGTTCTCTCTGCTGGATTTTTAACGAAAATCCAATAACATAGTTTAAGCTAGAAAGGGTTGAAATTATTAAATGCGGCTTATTAACAAGAAAAAAAAAGTTTTATTCATTGTAATAAATTATATACTGATGCCCTTACCCTTTTATTTAAATCCACTGTTTCAATTTCAGATTGTAGCGCCTTTCCGCTGCCAAAAAGAATGCTGCTTTCAACCATCTTCTGGTAGGTTTGGATGGTCATTTGACTCTCGTCTCTGACTCTCAGCAGAAGCAGACCCATCTCAGCACAGGTTATGGTCGTCTGCCTGATTATTTCATCTAATGAAGATAGAAATGAATGCATTGTCAAAGTTATAAGTGATCCAGTCTTGTGTAATTTTGACAAATATGGTCATGTAGATAAAAAATGTAGTAGAAATCCTAGGTTTGAATCTACATACAACATTTACACGAATTTCATATGTTTGTCCCATTTAATTTTTAAAGTGATTGTTCCAGGTGGAAAAAATTACACATTTTTTTCCATTTCAGTTTAAAATACACTAATACATCTCCAGAAATATTTGAATAAACAATCCTTTCCAAGAGTCAGAGAAACTATGTTCTGTCTGTAGATATTCCCGAGCTTTTCACTGATTATCTTTGGTGCTTTAGCTACTTTTCCAGGCATTGTTAATCTAAATTAAAATAGTTTGTACAGTTAGGCACAGACCCAGCTTTTTATCATAGCCTATAACAATTAACCAAATGGTCGGCTTCGGTCAGACACATCTATTCCTTGCTTCCCGCTTGCTTATATTTTCTTACTTTTTTAGAATTTTGGGAAACAGGCCGAGTCTAATGAAAATAACCACACTGGTAGCTGGTGTGGTGGGATGGTGTTCCACCAGGCCCACTCTGTGCACCAAGTGTAGCAAGAAGCAAGCTGTTGATTGGTGGGCAGGACAGGTGGCCTTATAGCTGAGCAGGCCTCTACAAGTTGCATCTGTCTTTGTTTTACCTACATGTCAGCTGCCTAAGTGGCTGGTGTGCTTGATCTGCTAATGTGAAATCGAAAGTGCCATCTGTGGCTGGGCTTTGGTGCTATACCTGCCATGTGTTGCTGCAGCATTTCTCTGGTGCAGCGTGCTGGCCCACTTTCCCCCTGGTTAGGCTGTGTTTCAACTCCTGGATAAGCTTCCCGTTGAGATTTTAATTTACAGGTTTACTAATCTGCTTTCTGGTTTAGGGTTGTCTTGGAGCTGCAGCGCTTCGGACGCTCTGCTGTCTTTTTTTGCAAATGTTTGTTTTGGCCGCTCTCGACAAAACCTGTTGCTGCTTGGACAGGCTGAGCGAGTGGGGCATGACTCCTCTGGCCACATTGAAAGGCCTATGAATTTGGACAGTGACAATTTGTTCCTCTGTTGAGGTGCTTGCATCTTTGTCTTTTATCCTTTGTTTGCTTACTATTGAAGTTACTAAAGGGTTTGCTTTTGTTTTGAGTTACTATTTTATTTCCTTTTGCATTGCATGTTTTGTTCTTTTTTTTTTTTTTTTTTTTTTATAATTTTAATTGCCCTTATTTCCTATGATCCGTTTTCTTTCCAGGGACAGAGTAGTAGGCCTGAAGTCATGTTTTAACAAATGTTTTAAAGAAATTCTTTAATTAAAATATTGTGGACTATTATGTGTTCTGGTGCATCTTGTTTTAAAAAGTTCACACTGGGAAACTCTTGGAGCAAAGCCAAAGAACAAACAATCCGACCCAGATCTGAAAAGACCCCAGAAAGTGTTAACGCCAAATCTAGATGACAAAATCTGGCCAAGACTTCAGAGAAACATGTCTTCTTCAGATGCAAAAAGCTGTTTGTTCCCTAAACTAAGAAAGGGGTTACTGAGAATATAGGTATTCCTCTAAACAGGTTTGCTGCCTACTGGATGACCTGTTAAGAGAACAGCCAGTTTCCAGACAAGGTAAGACAACATTTAACAACATTAGTATCTGACGATGCTTTGAATGAGATTAGATGCTTCTGCAACTAGAAAAATGCAGAAATGTTGAATGTTGGCTGTAGCTTCCCGTCTGAAGCCTCAAATGGGAATCGCACAGATCCATCCAATTGTGAGGAACTTGGTCGTTCACATAGAAATGATGTTGCTAAGAGGAAGTCAAAATTGCAGAGACATGATTAGAGTTCATAACACTGCGAGACAGACTCATTTTAAAGCGTACATTAAGGGCCCTGTCCCGCCACCTTCAGCAGGAAATGAAGTGTTCAGAGTTTTCTACCTCAAGTCAAGTCAAGTCAGCTTTTATTGTCACTTTCTTCATATGTACAAGACATACAAGGGAAATGAAATTACGTTTACTCTCTAGAAATAAGAAGAAATAAACTGATCAAATATGCCCTTTCTACAAGATCAATTGGCTTTATTGATAACATCTTCTGTGAAAAGGGACCCGAATAGAACGGATGGAATATCTTTGTTTAAAGATCTGTGTCAGGAAAATAATTTTAAATCAATGAACTAATTACTCCTCAAAATCTTGATTTTATGTTTCTAACAGACATGGCTGGATAAAAATAATCAGATTTTATTGGAGACCGGGTAGCAATTTACAATTTACAAATGGTCCTACATGGCGAGGATTCATTACTCTGTTTGATTCACTGTCCAAGTACAGGGCCCTTTTCATTTTTCTGAATGTTTACAGGCCCCCAAAGTCCAAAAACAAACTTTTTTTTTAATAATTTCTAACTTTTATCTGATATGTGTTGAACATGACAGCTTAATTCTTGTGGAGGACTTTAACGTATGTGTTGACTACCCTGTAGACGGGGGTGCAAAAGAACTGAGGGACATGCTTAAGATTTTTGGATTGACTCAACATGTTAAATAGCTAACACACAATTGAGGAAATATTTCATATTTTAGAGTTTTAAACATGACTTTCTCTACTGATATTGCGCTAGTGGACTTTTTTTTTTATCTGTTTAGCATACTTTGAAACCGTTTCCCCCCTGATCTAAGTATCAAAAGAGATGTTATAAGAATGCATTCTCATGGACAGTAGTCTCTGTCCAATCTACAGTATAAAAAGGCCAGTAGTGAATTTGCAAACGTCATTACTTGGAAAATTTACAATTTGTTCTTTATAAGAAAAAGCAGTCTGTCCACCAGCATCAACTCCAGTACCAATGCTGACTCTATTTCAGAAAACTCAGTTAAAATGCTCCAATTCCGCCTAATAAATGTAAGAGTTAGGAAATTGTTCAGCGGCTAAGCTCCTCTTGCTGCTGTCTTGATATTTTACCCACAGGATTTAAGAAGGTTAAACCTGTTTTAGAATTTGATTCGATTCAAATCATAAACATTTCATGTCAAGTGTTTTCCCCAAGGCATAAAAACAGCAATTATCAAACCTTTATCGAAAAAGAGAAGCGTGGACAAATGAATCCCGCAGAACTACAGACCCATCTCAAACCTCCTCTTTATCGGTAAAATGAAAATTGAAAAAGTAGTTTCAACAATTAAATCCTTTAACAATGATCAGCTGCCTAAACATCTTCCAGTCAGGTTTCCATGCCAACCACAGTACAGAGACTGCCCTGATTAATGTGTTCAATAACATCTGTATAAACTCAAGACTGGAAGACCCATAGTGCTGATATTATTGGACCTCAGTGGAGCATTCGATTCGTTTATCACTTGATTTAATTAGTGTCTGGGAAACTGGGTTGTTCTTTCTGGTACTACACTGGACTGGTTTGAATCCTACCTTAGGACAGGGACTGTTATGTGTTAAAATCAGTTTAAACAAGAAACATGCAAGAAAAATTACATGCAGGCTCCATTTTAAGGGCCCCTCCTATTCAATATCCACATGCTTCCTTTAGCTCAGATTATAGCAGACATCAGTTACAATAATTGTGCAGACGACACACAGCTTTACATCACAATATTCCAGGTGACTATAAACCCATCAGGGCATTGTGTAGATGCTTAGAATAAATCTATATTTGGATGCACCATAACTTTCTTCACCTGAATAAAAACAAATCTTAGGTAATAATCTTCAGACCAAAGGAAGAGAGCTTCAGGGACTACAGCTGGAAACTACTGATTATGGCCGAAATCTTGGTGTCATGAGGGACTCAGACCTGAACATTCAGAGGCAGATAAAGACAGTGTTACGGCCCTGGGCCTTGTGGGTTGTTGTGCAGGTGTCTTGGTGTCCGTTTTCATGCTCCTCCCCTTTGCAGGTGACTAGGATCTGGTGATTGGGCGTGCAGAGTATTTTAACCTGGCTGTCCCCGTCTTCAGTGTCGCTGGCTTCCCGCAGCGCCCACTCTGCAGCTGGAGATGTTTGGTTGCCAGGCCTCAGCTTCCCTTCTATTGCACCTTTGATACTGATTTCCACAATCCATGGATGGTTTTTGTGAATAAAGACTTGTTTATGCGCGCTTTAACCACGGCATGGTTTCATGTTTTTGTTACGACCATGAGCCAGTCGTAACAACAGTTACTAAATCAGCCTTTTATCACCTGAAGAACATTTTATTTTTGTCTATTTTATTGTTTAATTAATGTAAAGCAGTTTGAATTGTCCTTGAACTGAATTTTACTGTACAAATACATTTTCCTTGCCTAAAGGGGATAAGACTGAATGTAGTATTGAAGTTACATGTGAACTAGTCTTGTTTAAAATTAACTAATTAAAAAAGCTTTGATTTACTTTTATGTTTTTGCACTTAGTTGAGTCTGTTTTTCAACCATTTAACTAAGTGAGGTAGGATTAAAGGAACTGGATTAGGCTAAGAAACTTTCTGAATAGCCTGCCTAAAATCAAGAGTATTCTTTTAAAATCTTGATTCACCCAAAGAAAACTCACAAGTTAAAATTAATGCTACATTTTTCCCCCCCATACCTTTGGTCAGTTGTACATAATGATGCAAGAAGCTTGATGACTTTAAAAAGTGTGTAAGCAAGCTTATATATATATATATATATATAATATAAAAATGACTGGTGTAGCAATTAGAAGTGTATGATGGTGGGTATATTGATTGCATCCCCAGCAAGTCCTTACCAAAACACTGAGAATAAAGCTCTCTGCGGATGGGACAGATGCCTGTAAGCCTGGCCTGTCTCTGCTGCAGCTTTGTATTCAGCTGTTCCTTCAGTTGGATAACATCTGCTCTTGTAGACGGAGCAGTAGATACCTTCTGCACCCAAAGCTGGTTTCCGTCCATCCATTCCCTGCAACATTAATGGTTGAGAGTAAATAGTTTGAAATAAATAGGACAGTTTACTAAATAAGAACATGGGCATACCTGGATGGAAAAATGGCTTCCAGGACCTGCTTGGTTTCCGTATTGTCTTCACTCGTTGCAGGTTTTGACTTAGAAGGTGGAGTAGCTGGTTTGAAGTCTGATGGCTGCTGAGGGATTGTTGTCCAGAGAATACCAGATAACAGAAAAGTTATGTGAAAATGTACCAGTTGAATCTAAACATGCACCTAAGAGCACTTTAGATTTAAATTTTTTGCAGTGTAAGGTTTCCAAAAGGTGGTGGTTTAAAGTCCTGAATCCAAGCAAATGAAAACGTTGGTGGAAGGAAAGTGTGGTATGTAAAATATAAACAAGTACAGTCTGGATATCCTCTCAAACCTCTCATCAAAGACTGAATCCAGAATAAGAGCTAAAAAAATTTTCTTTTTCCCGTTGGGTGAAGACATTCCTTAAGCAATCAACTTAGAAACTATTTGTTCTTCCTTGAAAAAATTACTATTTTATTTAGCTGTAATCCATAATCGTTTAAATTAATTAAGTATACTTGAAAGCCTAATTTAATTATTATTATTTATTTATTTTTATTTTTTTAACCACATAGGCCTACATTTTTCGGTTATATTGGAATTTATTTTAACGCACATATCTACTATGTTGTGGTGGTCCTGCCGCATAAATCTTGGTCCGATTTATGTACAAACCTACCACTTCAATGTGACTGCAGCAAACTCACCTTTGGAGATTCAGTCTCTGAATTCTTGATCAACATCGGATTGTTGTATTTCAAAAAAGAATCAGATGCAGGAATCATTTTTCACTTCCTTTTTTAACACAAAGGAAAAATAAAATAAGTTTTGCCCGCAGACACCGAAACTTATTCGCTCGTTGAAGTTTGTTGTAACTGTCGTCATGGTAACGGTGTCCAGACGTTCCTAACGTCTTTTAAATGTCAGCTAGTTCGGCAAATCGTGATTGGAAATCTGGAAAAAAAATATTACATTGAATTTATTTTAATTGAAATTTTGACTCAGTAGCCACCTAACGTTCGCTTATGACACCCTTTAATATTTTTTACAGCTAACAAGAACTATACATTATACTTATTAAGAAGTAAAACAACAGCACTTTAGATGCTATATGGCCAATTTGAAGGTGCAACTTAAAAAGTAGCGGAACTTTTAAAGAAGGCAAAGATTCCGCCGAGATCCATTTTCTGTGTACCACAGGAACAATTAAAATGCAGTTAAGGGTGATAATGTTCCTCTGATTTGTCATACTTTAAGCTATTATAGTGTTAAAAGAAATATCGGGGAATTTTCAACCTGCTGCGGAGAACATTTTCATCAGAGACACACTGAAAAACGTTCGACTAGTATGTCTCAATAAAGGTGTCAAACCGTATTTATTGAAATAATCTGCGAAATAAAATCCACCGTTTTAGGGCTTACATGGTTAAGAAACGTGATAATGTAAAGAATATCTTTAAAAGTTTCCTCTTCTTCAGTCAGTTTTCTCGAGAGTTTTGCGAGAGTTTAGAGTGATGCGCGCTCCCGCGAGAAGGGACGCAATTCTCGGCAGGCATGCATTTCTCGGTATAACACCGGGAAGAAACGTGGAATTATTTATTTGTTAGTATACTGTCATTTTGTTCCACAATCCATTCCAGTAGGTGGCAGTAGTGCGCTTTTAAACTGTTTGCCAACCGCCATTAAACATCACAGAAGAAGACTGCATTCTCATGTGAAACTGGGGTGTATTTTTTCTCCCAGTCAGCAGGATGCGCTATTTTTCTACGCTACTATGGAGGGCTGCCAGTTGTAGAATCACTAGCTAACAACAACAGAAAACCCCGGTCGGCAAACGTTCTAATTGGATCCTCCAAAAACGGTGAGTTTTTCTACACATGAGCCCCCAAGCAAATTACATTATGGGTTATGGCGTTCAATCAAACGTTGAAGACTATTAATCGTACCTATTTGATTCTGTGGCCAAATCCCCAGCTTATTTGTTTAGTTCGGGTTAGCTGCTACTGGAGTGAGGCTAACAGACTAGCTCGATGGAATTAGCTGCCATGTTACCGTTAGATCACGATGGATTATAGATAGGATTTGTGTAGTTTTAACAGTGTTAAACACCGTCTTTTCTGATTAGATTTATATTTTAATTGCTCCCTTAGTCCTCGTTGGTGTTTTAAATCGGGGTTAAGGGTATAGGCAGTGTGTGTTGTTGGCAGTTAACTACCTGCTCCGCCTACAATAACTCACTACAAAGTATGTTTCAATTTAAAACGTCACAAGGCTAACTTTCATTTCAACTTCATACATAAAATATTAGTTTTCATGTAAGTTGCGCCTGAGGTTCATGTTATATATCAGAAATGAGACTTCCTGCCATTTTATATACATTATAAAACTCCATCTTTATGTGTTTATTATTGGTTTATGTTAGGGCTTGAATGATAGTGTTTTACATCTTGAGTAATTTCTAACAAAGCTTCTAAATAACTGACTCGTTCTGCTGCTATCAGGTTTAATGGTTCTAGGAAGATAGTATGTTAAATTTTAGTATGAATCACTAAATACACTGAAGCACAGCTATCAGTTTATCACCTTTATTATGTAGATAGATCTACTCTGTTATCTATTGGTGATATTTAAAAAAAGCTGAATCTACTAATTCATAAACCTGTATCATGGCAGCAGCAGCCACACTGATCCATACTCCCCTCACTAGTGAACAGGACCCCAAGATACTTGAACTCCTCCATTTGAGGTAGGAATGTATGGTTTTTCATCTCTTCTTCACAAACATCCTTTGTGTATTTTAAAGATCGAATTTAGCTACACAATCTGGGAGGTTCACACACAGTAATCTCCAACTCAGCCTTAGAATCACACTTTTGTACCCAAAACCCCAGCTGGTTCAGATAGTTACTTCCCCCCCTTTTGAGCCTAAAAGGTAACATTTCCTTCCTTATAAATGTTGACACAAGAACTGGACTCACCACCACCTGGGGTCATTAAACACTCAAACCTGAAGAGGACAAGCCACCTTTTTCCGATCGAGAACCATGGCCTCTGACTTGGAGGAGCTGATTCTCATCCCGGGTGGTTCCCACTGTGCTGCAAACCACCACAGTTCTGTTGGTCTTGTCAGGAAGGTACCAGCAGACAGGCTCGGACTGGGAAGAATTTTCGGCCCTGGCATTTTTCCGTGCACACCGGCCCAGTCAAATGCGTGCGTCTCAAATGTGAAACACATTACGTATACACATTGTGGATCTATCGTTAAGCATCACACGACAATCATCACCAAGACTTGGCTTTGGTTATTAACACGGACACGTGTTACGTTCACATTCACCACATCAGCAGGATTGCCAGATGTCACTGCGTCCCGTTCATAAACCGCCTGGATATACGAAATCTCTGCCAATTTGAACCAAAGTCTATGGATCTCTTAGGCCATAAATCTTTTTACCCATAGACGGCCATCCTTAACTGCCAGATTGGGAAACATCCCAACCTGGCAACAATACACGTAGGACCGGAAACGTTGGCCTTTAGATGCAAAACCCCATCATGCACCGTGACATATTTTTGCAAGATATTCAAGCATAAATTTGTCAAATATAAGAGGAACATTGTAGTTTGGTTTAAAGAAAGCATTTTAGTTTTTTTTCTAATTTAGTTTGTTGCAAGGATTTTACAGTTTGAAGATATAGAAAATTGCACCATATGCCAACCCTCACAAGGATGTGCATGACAAGAAAGGCCTATATATACTGCATGCAAGTTACTGTCACAGGTAGGAGCTTCGGCTGGAGAGTAAGTGTGGCCGGTATGATTTAAGTAATGCCGGCCCTCCTACGCTGAAATTTGGACCGGCCCGTCGGGCAAATGCCTGGAATCACAGATTACCAGTCCGAGCCTGCCAGCAGAACTACATAATCTGCAGAATGTAAGAACAAAATCTGCTGGTCGGTAAACCAGACCCCCTCTGGACTTTGGCTGCACAATCCTGTCCATAAAGGTTATGAACAGGAGCGATGACAGTGGGCAGCCATGCCCATGTAGACCGGTTGGGCAAATTTTTATGAAACCTGCAGAGATTATAAAGTTGGTCCTATGTTTCCCGGCCAGGATGAAAAACACACTGCTCCTCCTTAAGCCAAGGTTCAACCAGCCAGACTGTCCTCTCCAACATAGCCTTCCGAATGAGGCGTTTGCCAAAATAAAACATTTCCTGGCTATTTTTTTTTAAAGCCACCACCTTTTTTTTTGTTCATTTAGCAAAGACCTCATGGCTATGTCTGAACGTCCGACCTAATCCCTAAATCCCTATGTAATTCCTATAATATCTATATTTTTTATTTAGCTATGGCTTTCTGAGCATGATCAATACGAAGCTCCTACTGGGTTAAATCACTAAGACAGGACTGAAGAAATGTGCCTATTTTAGATTTTACATGTGAGATTTCAACTCACTTTGGAAGCTGTTAGAATCTCTTTTGATTTAGCCTCCTGTCTAAACTTAATAACCAGTCTTGTATTACAGCTGATATAGCCTGACGTTGTTGTATTTTTCAGAGTTTTCCAGTCTGTCTTCTATACATGCTGAGTTTAAACAACAAAAAGCCGAATCAGCAGTTTAGGAGAGTGCCGGATTTTATATTTTATCCAGTACTTTAATTTATATTTTCTCCATTTTGTGTTTTTAAACTGCTTATCTGTAGTTATTCTGTAGTAACACATTCCACAATTATTTTGTTCAAGTTATTTTTTTGGCTCTGGAGGTTTTGATTATTTCTATACTGAGTTTACTTCTAGTTTTAAATTGGGTTTTAGACTTTCAGGCAACTTTATCACAGGGCCTTGTTGGATGAAGAATTGGTAAACTTAAGCGTAGTTAATGTCTTAAAAATCATAATTTAGTCTTTGATTAAACAGAACTTGTCTATGCATATAAGGAGGTAAAGTGAAATAATACAAGTATAATACAAAAACAGGGTAAACTGTATTTTGAGATAGTGTAAAAGTTGTGCTAAGGCTCATGTTTTTCATCTCATCTTCCTGCTTCTTTTAGAAACACAACAGTCTGGTTTTACTGCAGCTTTGGCCTCTCAGCTTAACAATTGATCTAATTTAACAGTTGAGTATTTTTATAAAATAGTGATGAATAGCCCTTAACTCAGAACGACATATTTTAGTCCACCTTAACCCTCCTAACCTCAGCCTGTTGTGGCGTATGGGCAACAGATTGAGGCTTTGACACTTAATAAAATTTGGTTTTCTATTTACAAGTTTTCAATAATTTCATTTCTCACTCATGGCAGGGTTCTTTTTGAGATGTAAATCTATTTTCTTTTTTTCTACATATTCTTCTATAGAAATGTACTCATGGTCAGAGAATACTTATTATTTTTCTTTTTAGTAGCACTAGAGTACTGAGATAAAGGTTGTAAAGTTGACTAGAGAGTAACAACCCTACTTTGAGTCATAGATGGTGGAGTTTAAATCAATATTGACTGGAAGAAGTGACTACTGTATTGCTGTGATTTATCATTCTAAAGGGTAATATATGTACAGCATCTAAGGCGTGTTCTTTTCCACATTTTGCTATGTCACAGACACAAACCTTATGGGATAGATAAACCATCATACAAATATAAAGCAGATTTCAGCCATTGATATTTATTCTGCTAACTTACATTGAATGTAATTCAGAATCCAGAGATATCTTCACTGTCATTTTGCAATTTAATTTAGAACGTCACAGTTTCCACAGCATGAAGGAGTAAAAGCAATTCAATAAACAACATCATGTGAACATTCAAAACCTTACATAATCAGTAAATACAGTCCACCTAATGGAGGACCAGGGGAGTCACTGAATAGGAAAAACATGACAATAAAGGTTAAATCATCCAATTTTAAAAGCGTT